GCGCGTGCACTGCAAGTCGTAGAACCGAGATGGGGAGAACTCCGTGGCAATCTCCATTGCTCTGCACATCCATCGGGTGGCAGAGAGCGAGCTGGCGAAGCAACTGGCCGGGAAAGCACATTGGAACCTCAACCCGCGCACGTTGTGGATTTCCCGACAATGTGACGCGCAAGCTTGACCTGGGCTGCAAGGCAGCCTCCCTTGATTACGCCATGACGAAATGCCCTTGCCAAATAAAGTGTCCTGGCCGACTATGCTGGCAACTGTCCTTGACTAGGCGCCGCGCATCCCCAGCTCATCACAGACGGAGGGAGAAGGGCGAAGGAGGAAAGCGAGGGAGCGGAAAGAGAAGACATGTCGGGGAGGCCAAAACAAGTCACTTACACCAAGCAATGACCTGAACAAGCGAAGCAACCGTGACAAGTGAATTGCGATTCGTGGCAGAGAAGTGCCGAAACCAGACAACGCGGCATATGGCGGCTGTAGGGGCAGCCGCTGCCAGTCGTGCGTGCCCCGAGCGCCGTCCAGCGAATGCGGAGGAGTGCGATCATGAGGAGGAGGAGGAAGAGGAACATGATAATGCGGAGGGGGGGACATGGTGGAGTCGGAGGCCCTCGGAGGTCTTCACAGGTCCGTGGACGTCCCCAGGCAGAGAAACGGTCCCGAAACATCGGTCCTCGATCCCACTAGGGAAGGCGGCGCTGCCCAGAGAGGGACGACGGTGAGGCAACAGCAGCAGCAGCAAACTCCTTGGAGGAACAACTGTCAACGCCCTCTGAACGCTCCGCGCAAGCCCGGATGATACCTCCGCTTCGGCCATCATTGGCGCGCAGACTTGTCCTCCTAACCCCTAACCATCCTCTTCCTGCTGCTCCTGCTGCTGCTCCTCATCATCTCCTGCTGCTGCTCCTCCTCCTCCTCCTCATGAGTACAATTTTCATCCCCGTTCTCTCATCCCCCCTCGTTCCTCCTCATCCTCTCCTCCTCCTTTTCCTCCTCCTCCTCTTCCTCCTCCTCCTCCCCGTCCCCGTCCCCGTACCCCTCCGTCTCCTCCTCCTCATTCTCTTTTTCCTCCTCCTCCTCCTCTCCTCCTCCTCCTCCTCCTCTTCCTCCTCCTCCTCCCTCCACTCCTCCACCACTTCCTCGCCTATCTTCCCTCATCGTGGCTCTGCCTTCCCCGCGTGCTTTTACTGCAACGAGGCGCTACCTCCGTTCATAATCGTGGCACCCGCGCTGGCCCGCGCGCGGCCGCCCGCCGACACCGCGGCCATCCCGCCACAGCGCTAAGGAAGGCGAAGGAGAGGCAGGCAACCATTGCTAAAAAGGTAGATGGATCTTCGTCTGCAGGCCCTGAGCTCTGGCTCACCAGCCCAGGACGCAATCGATAGAGAGTGTTTTCTACCGGTTTCAGGCTGGCTTGTCTCGCCCTCGTCGCTCTCGTGCGAGACAATTTCTCGCTTCGCTGCGGTCAAGGAAGTTGTCCCATCGTTTTTGGGTAAATTGTCCGCGTCGCGCGCCCTGACGTACTGATGAACGGCACCCCTCGGCACCAGCTCGTGTCGGCCCTTCGTGTGAAGTCCCGCGCGCCTACCGGCACGAGGACATCGTCGTCTGCGCGATTAGCCGCGTCCGTCAGCCTGATGACGAGGTCTTTGGTTGGCTTGAGGCTGCGCCCCGATTGTAGCTGCCGCCTGATTTGTACGCCCGACATGGGTACGGAACACATGGGTACAATACCCAACAGCAAACGTTGTCCCAAACCAACAGCGGCCGCTGTTGGGCAGGCGGCCTTCTGTCTCAAATGTGCACAGGCCGCGGCGACACCGACAGCGAGTCCTGTTCAAAATGAACACGAACCTCTGTTGGGCATTGTACCCATTCTTTCCGTACCCATTTCGTTCGTGCAGACCTGAGGCCGGCCGTCCTCGTCGTGAAGTTCCTTTCCGTCGCGGCCTGCCTCGACCTTGGCCGCATGATCCTTCCCGTCGTGACCCTCCTGGCTGCCAGAATGCAACTCGCCGTGGGCGTCGGCACCCTTGCGGGGCGTTGCGGCCCACTTCTGAAGAAAGGCGCCGGCAGCTGGAAGCTACCAAGATAATCTCCAGCTCCTCCTCCTCCGCGCTGGCGTTGTAGTCGTGACGCTTCCCTGCCTCGTATCGCACGTCGTTGTGACGTTTCTCCTCGTCTTTCTCCTCGTACGTGTCCACCGCGTCGATCGCCCCAACAACTGTATCCTCCCTCTGGCACTGGGATGTGTCACGCGTGCCCTCCTCCTCGTACTTCTGGCCGACGTCGTCATCGCGGCGCTTCACCTTCCCCCCGTGCTCGTACTTTCCGACCTTCAGCCCTTACTCTCGTTTTCCCCCTCGTCATTGTTACTCTCGCAGTTCCGGAAATGGTCCCAGTCCCAACGGCCGTTCGGGTCCCCGTCGCCGTCTCGGCGCTCTTCCTGCTGGCCGCAGTCGAAATCGTCCTCCTCGATGTCCTCTGCGTCGGGACCCTTTTTCCAAAGTGATGCCCTTGTTCTCGCCTGGCACCTCCGTGTCGCTGGCACCCACGTGGTGGCCCTCCATGTCGTCGTCGTCGTCGCCGTCCTCCACCTCCTCCAGGCAATCCTCCTTGCAATCCTCCATCGCGGTGGGACATGCAACCGCGCGTGGTTGCGCGTCTGGCCTCCGAAAACCTGCGTGATACTCGGTACTTCTGCGGCACCTGGCACCAGAGCGGAAGCAGCCAAACTCTACACATCGACGCTTTTTCTGGCCCTGCGCTGCAACTCGCACAGGAGAGCGGATCTTGGTGTGCACAGGGGTCCTGGTGTATACGTGCTTCGTTGCTTCCCGAGGACATCGGGGCAACATAATATACACCGCACCACCCCGACGTCGTCCCCGATCCTCCAGCAGCCCTGGGGTTGAGAGCCAAGCCGCCACTGCTAGCGTGTATCCTCCAAATGTCCGAGAGCAGGCGACGGGCCACCGAGGCCCGACCGCAGCCGATACCGCCCTGCCTCCCCTGCCCAGCTCGAGGGGCCCGCCTCGCCGGCCTCCGCCCCAGGCTCGCTGCACGGGGCTCTCCAGTGGTGCAGGAAGGGGCTCGGCCGCAGGAAGCCTTCCACGAGAAGCCTGACCCCGAGTCCCCAGGACGTCCGTTGATTTTTGGTGTGGGAGCGTCACGCTTTCCACAGCGAAGCCATCGAAGCCCAAGAAGCACATGGGCACCCTGGAGGCAAGCAGGGCTTCTCGGCATGGGCTTCCACGGTACTGAAAACGCGAATGCCTGTATGGGTCCATGCGTCCTCCAAATCCTTCTGCTCCTCGTCGGCCTTCTGCTCCTCTTGGGCCTCACGCGCTTCTTCCTCAAACTCGTAATCCGTGCTCCTCGTAAACCTTGTGCTCCTTCCTGGCCTTTTCCTCGCAGTCCTCCGAGTCATTCTGCTCGACGTAGGCCTTGTGATTATTCTGGGCCTTTTGGTCCTCCACTTTCTTTTGCTCCCAGTAGGCCTCTTGTAGTTCCTCAGCTCTTCCAGGGCCCCTGGAGGAGCATACCTGGCAACAGTGGTGGCATGTGGCAGACGGTGTCGTGTTCGCAGCCATTGCGCTCCCCGCGGTCGTATTCGTAACAGGCGTAGTCCTTGCTGTCGGGCTCGCACGAGTTCTGTTAGCATCCCGGGACATGGGTCTCGTTGACAGCGTTTGTGTTTTTCGCCGGCGGCCACTGCGCTAACGAATGCCCGACGACGCAACTCAATTCCCAAACCGGCTTCACGGGCGAAGCCTCCCAGCTGCATCCTGGGGCCTTGGCCGGATAGCACTGGTGCAATCCTGGGGGCCTCAGGAGGCTGTGCGTGCCAGCCGTGCAATGATGCGCGGGCCAGGCACGCCAGGCACGCAAGGGGAGGCAGAGGGAAGGGAAGGAAAACGCGGTAATGAGAGGGATGAAGAGGAGAGAGGAAGCCGCAGAGCCAGGGCATGGGCCGAGACCGGTGGACAAACAAACAAACCTAGAAACATCCAACGCAGTTTTGTTAAACTGTGAGGAATTATTTCCTACGAGCTTGCACAGGAATTATTTCCTACGAGCTTACGAGGGTGCGCCGATGCCCCCCAAAATGGCTGGCAGGAGGCCCGACTGCACTCACCGCCGAAGATTTAGATTCGCACGACCCCAATCAGTGTGGCATGGGGAAAATGAAAGGAGGAGGAGAAGGAGGAGGAGGAGGAGGCGGAGGAGGAGGAGCAGGAGCAGGAGGATTAGGAGGAGGAGGAGGAGGAGGAGGAGGAGGAGGAGGAGGAGGCGGAGGCGGAGGCGGAGGCGGAGGCGGAGGAGGAGGAGGAGGAGGAGGAGGAGAAGGAGGAGGAGGAGGAGGCGGAGGCGGAGGCGGAGGCGGAGGAGGAGTAGAAGGGAAGAACCGTTTCGAGGATCATAAAAAGCGCGAAAAGGTCACCAGAAGATCGGTGACCTTGCGGGGGCCTCAAGCGGCGCCGAATGTCACCAGCAGGTCGGTGACCTCACCGGGACTGGAACAAAAATCACCAGGAGGTCACTGGAAGATCGGTGACCTTGAGAGGGCTCCACTGCGTAGTCATGGTGCTTGATTACATCAGGCGCCCGCAGTGCTCGTGGCCCTGGGTGCCCTGGCCGTGTCCAGCGCGCTCTGGCAGCCCAGCGTGCCTTGCCCGCCGCGCCCTGGCAGTGTAGTGCCCTCCCGTGGCCCAGAGTATCGCGGGTGCCCTCGGCGCTGAGACGGCCCAGCGTGTCTTCGCAGCCCAGCAGGTTCTGGTAGTGCGGCGCTTTTCGTAGCCCAACACTTGCCATCGCTCGGACGTCCCTTCCTCGTGTATTTCTCGATCTCGTGCGTGTTTTTTTTCGCGACGTCATCCAGGATGCTCCTCCATGGTCCTCGCCGAGGAAAAATGCACACGTCCGAGCGACGCCAAGAAAAAGTTTTGGTGGTCTGGCGCCTTCGTGTGCCCAGGCGTGTCCTCCTAACCCAGCGCCTGCTCGGGGCCCATCGTGTTCAGGCGGCCTGGCGCCGCGCCTTGTCGGAGGCCGGCGTGCTCAGGTAGCCTGGCGTGTAGGCCCCCCTCGTAGCTGAGGCTCTCGTCCAAGCTGTCGCGCTCCTTTCGGCTGTTGCTCTCCTTGAAGCCGTAATTCTCGTTCTGGTAGTGGCTCTCCTTGAGGTTGTCGCCCCCCTTCTGCCTGTATATCCTCCTCCGGCATGCGCGTAAGTCCTTGATTTGCACGTGCTCCTGGTCGACCGTGCCGTCGTGGCGTCGGTCGTTGTATGAGTCGCTCTGGCCGCGGGCACTTCTCCCGACATTGACTAGCTCGATGCACGTCATGCGCAGGCCAGCCTCGGCCTGCTGGGGGTGCGGCGCTGGAGCGGCCCAGTTGAACCAGTACTGGTGCTCCAGTGCGTATACCAAGGAAGTCGACCACTTCTCCTTCCACTGGAGCGTCAGCGTCGGGTTGCTCAGGGCCTGTCTCAAAGCTACTTCCGCGGTCTTCTGCCTGGCCTTGCGCTCCGCGCGCACCTGCGAGGACGCACAGGTGAGGACCACGCACTGGTATGTCGAAGTTGACGTTCAGCTTCGCGCAAATGTCGTTGGGCGCCATGCCAGGACCGCAGCGCATTGCCAGGGCGCAGAGGGGCGCGTCGAGGACAGAGCAGCTCCCAGGAGACAGAGAGAGAAAGAGAGAAAGAGAGAGAGAGAGAGATAAAGAAAAAGAGAGAGAGAGAGAGCCAACGCGGCGCCTGCCTGGCCCCAAAAGCTGGCTTGAACTGAACTGGCTACGGACCCTCCGCTTCCTCCTCGTCGTCCTCCTCCTCTCGCCTCCTCCATCTCCTCCGTTCCCCTTCTCCTTATGATCTCCTCCCCCCGCCCCCATCCCCCGTATCCACTCATGATCCTGCCTTCATTCTCCCCCTCAATTCTTTCTCATTCTAGATAACTCCTCCCTGTCGCACCCAGACGTGTCGGTAGGGCGGGCCGGCCTTTTTACCGAAGACTTCGTCGTCATTTATGATCCTGGAGCTTCTCGCCTTAGCGCCGCGCGCACTCGTCTTAAAGTTTACAATAGCTTCACGGGTTGAGGGCGTGTCGTTTACAACATGTGGCTCTCGCCTTAGCACCGCGCACTTGCGTTTGAAGAGTTCGCATCAGTTTCACGGATGAGGGGTGGTTCCTTTTCAACATGTGGATCTCGCCTTAGCGCCGCGCGAATTCGTTTGAAAAGTTCGCTCCAGTTTTGCGAACTGAGGGCGGGCCATTCTCAAAAGGTGGCTCTAGCCTTAGCGCCGCGCGCAGTCGTCTCAACATGTATAATAATTTCAAGGATTCGCATGGCGAAAGTCCCAGGAATGGTGATCTGGCGCGATTTAGGGTTGTCAGGACGCAGCGGCTACTCTGTTTTGCTGTGTTGAAGTCCCAGGAAAGTCGTTCTGGCACGACTTAACTTGTCAGCACGCAACAGTCATGCTGATCCGTGGAGTTGAAGTCGCAGCAGCTGTGTGTTTTGGCACGGTTGAGGACTCTCAAGCGATTGACTTTTCAAGGGCCATTTCCCGCAATGATAGCGATGTATGGACCTCTGGAGAGGGAACTTGGAGGGAGGGTTTATTCTCCTCCGCTCTCCTTAGCCCTGCGACTTCTTCCCCTCCTCCCTCCAATCCCTTCCTGCTTTCCCTCTACCTCACCCACCACCTCCTCCTTCCGCCCCCTCCCCCTTCTAGTCGTCGTCCTCCCTTCCCTCTCATCCTCCTCCTTCTCCTCCTCCTCCTCCTCCTCCTCCTCCTCCTCCCGAGCACGCTAGCGTGTCTGTTCTCATGTTTCTTTGCGTCTGCTGTGTTACTGTTTCAGCAGGCTGCATCTCGCCCACCGTTCGTCCCACACGAGCCGTGGTGCCATTGCCCTTTTTTGTTATGTGGTGCGAAGCCAAGCCCCAAACCCTGCTCCTCCTCCTCCTCCTCCTCCTCCTCGTCCTCCTCCTCCTCCTCCTCCTCCTCCTCCTCCGTCCTCCGCCCTCAATCCTCCTCCTCCTCCTCCTCCTCTTCCCTTTCCGTCCTTCTCCACCTCCTCCTCTCCTGTTCCTGTTGTTGCTGCTGCCTTCTTCTTCTTCCTCCTCCTCCTCCTCCTCGCACATAGCTCGGAGCCTTCCTTCTCCTCCTTCTCCTCCTCCTCCTCTTCCTCCTCCTCCTCCTCCTCCTCCTCCTCCTCCTCCTCCTCCCCCTCCTCCTCCCCCTCCTCCTCCTCCTTCTCCTCCTCCTCCTCCTCCTCCTCCTCCTCCTCCTGGGACTCCCTCCCTCCTTTGCGCAGCCAGAGGAGGTGGAGGAGGCGAAGGAGGAGGAGGAGGAGGAGGAGGAGGAGGAGGAGGAGGAGGAAGTGGACGAATCCGCCAAAGCCGTGTCCTGCTCACCTGCACCCTCCCCGGCGCTGACGTCGATTCGAGAACCTCCAGGCACGTCACCAGCGCCCCGAAGAGGTGGTACCGCTGAGGGGGTCGCCGTCGCCGCTGTCGCTGCCGTCTGAAAAATTCTGCCCTTGTCGTTGCCGGCATTGTCGTCGAGGTTCGAGGCTCGAGGCTTCGAGATTCTGGATTTTCTTTGCCCGTTTTGCCCCCCCCCCCCCCCCCCCAGGTGGGCCTCTGGACCCCTCCCCCAGGCCTCTGGCCACCTTTGGAGACCTCCGAGGACCCCCAGAAACCTCGAAAGGAGAAAGAGGAACGAGGAGGGAGAATTTCGACGCTCATCCTTTTCGGGCCTCCTAATGAGGCCTCGTCGTTCGGGCGCCAGCGGGCAGCGCCCTTCCCGACGCAGCGAGGGGCCGCTCCCACGGAGGAGGACCAGTGCAAACCCAAGGGCCATCAACGATGTTGGAGTAAACCCTCCCTCCAAGCTCCCTCGTCATCGGCCCCTACAACGGTTCATTTCCATTGAAGGAACCGCCTCGTTGAAAGACACCCGTTTGAAGACCCTGAAACATGCCAAAACATGATTTTCGGGATTCCAACGCCACGGATCAACCTGACTGTTGCGTCTTGACGATCCTGAATCGTGCCAACACGCCATTCCTAGGACTGCAACACAGATGAATCAACGTAACTGCTGCGCCCGCAAAATCCTCAATCCTTCAAAAGCACTATTTCTGGTACGTTGATGGGGGGAAGCCGTGAAACTCTTGAAACATTTGTAGAAAAGAATGTGTGCGGCGCTGCGGCGAGAACCACACATTGAAAAATAACTGCCCTCAATCCGTGAAACTCTTGCAACATTGTAAAACGAGTGTGCGCCGCGCCACGGAGAGAGCCACATTTTGAAAACGACTCGCCCTCATTCCGTGAATCTCTTGTAAATGTTAAAACGAATGTGCGCCGCGCTGAGGCGAGAACCACATTTTGAAAACAACTCGCCCTCAACCCGTGAAACTCTTAAACGAATGTGCGCCGCGCTAAAGCGATAACCACATTTTGAAAATCACCCGCCCTCGATCCGTGAAACTCTTGCAGACTTTTAAAGCGAATGTGCGCCGCGCTAAGGCGAGAGCCACATTTTGAAACCACCCGCCCTCCATCTGCGAAGCGGTTGCCAATTTGTAAACTTCAGAGTCAGAAGTGGTGAGGAAGTCTCAGGCGAAACGCCCGGATCATTCGAGGGACTTAGGCACCGCGAGCCAACGTGACTGCTGCGCCCTGGCTATCCTGCATCGTTTCAAGTATCTTATCAATGAACGCCAGTTCAACTCGTGCAGCGTTCCATAACGAATGTGCACAGCGCTGAAGCGAGAACCGCATGTGGACCCCCCTCAATCCGTGTAGCTCCGCTGCAATCTTCCAAAAGGAATGCGCGCGGGGCTAAGGAGAGAACCACATGTTGAAAACGACCCGCCCTCAATCCGCGAAGCTCTTGCAAACGTTTGATGCACATGTGCGCGGCGCTACAACAGAAAACACATTTTGACAACCACTCGCCCTCAATCCGTGAAGCTCTTGCAATCTGTTCAAACGAATGTGCGCGGCATTGAGGCGCGAGCCACATTTCGAAAACCACCCGCCATCCATCAGTGAACCTGTTGCCAATTTTTCAGCTGAAAGATCATAGTGGCCAAAACATCTGAAGCGGAACACCCAGCCCGCCCTTCCGACTGGCCGCGTGGTGCGACAGGGAGGAGTTTCTCATAAGGGAAAGGAGCGGAGGAGGAGGGAGGAGGAGGAAGAAGAGGAAGAGGAGGACCAGTGTAAACCCAAGACTATCAACGATGTTGGAATACACCTTCCTCCCCAACTCCCTCTTCATAGGCCCCTACAAGGGCTCCTGTTCCACTGAACGAAGTGCCCCGTTGCGGGACAGCCGTGTGAAACTCCTAATGAGCGACAGGATACGGTTCTTAGGACTTCAACGCCACAAGTAAAACCGACCGTCGCGTCTTGACGATCCTGAATCGTGCCAAAAGACCATTCGAAGGATTTCAACACCGCGAACCAGCGTGACTGTTGCGTCCTGACAATCCTGCATCGTTCCACAGAACCATTTCTGCTATGTTAACCATGGGGATCCATGGAACACGAGCGACATTGTATAACGAATGTGCGAGGCGCTGAAGCGAGAACCACATTTAAAAAAGGAACCATCATCACTCTGTGAAACACTTGCATGTGTTTTAAACGAACATTCGCGGCGTTAAAGGGGGAACAGCATATCGAAAACGAGCCGCTCAATCCGTACAACTCTTGCACATTCCTAAGACGAATGTGCGCGGCGCCAAGGCGATAACCACATTTTGAAAGCGACCCGCCCTCAATCCGTGTAGTTCTTGCAATCCCACCAGCCCTCTGGGCGTAGGCGGTCTAGGGAAGCTCCTCTTCCAACCCCCTTCTTCCCCTTCGGGGAGGGGTTATCACTGTTCCTTATTAGTATGCACGCCCTCTCCCACCCGACCGGCGGCCAACCGGGAACCATGACAACCCCATGGGGGCCCCCTCCCCACCATCCCTGACAAACAAACGATGCAACGCGCATTGTGCCTCCACATTTGGAGCATGCGCGGCCGCCCCGCGACTGTTCAGTATTGGCATTTTGCAGGGACGGCTGGGGTACGCGTGGAACACTGGGCGCACGTGGAGCACGTGCCGCACCTGGCGCGCCTGGCACGCTTGGGCCTCCAGGGTCTAGTGCATCTGAACCCGTGGCGTCTGCGGCGTTCTTACGCGCCATGCTGGCTCCCGGGTGTTACGTAGGTGTTGCGAGGGCGGGTGGGAGTGAGCAAGACGGCTTGCGGGCGGGTGGAAAGCTTGACCCCTCCCCCTACACCCTCCCCTGGACCTGTAGGGGGGGGGGGTCAGCGAGGCGTTGGAGCGTCCAAGATGGCTCAAGACTGTTCCAAGAGGGCCCCTGAGAGTCCAAGATGAGCTCTAAGATGGCTCAAGATAGCGCACGATACCTCAAAATGGCTCCCAAAATGCTCCAAAAGGCCCCAAGAACGTTCCATGACCGCTCCAAGAGGCGTTCGAGACCTCCAAGGAGGCCCCCAAGAAGCCAACATCCTTCAGCAACTTAGGTAGAATTAGTGATTTTTGCTTTCTCGCCTTTTCGCTTCCGATGGCCCTCCCAGGCCTCACGA